CCCCCTTTCCCTTTTTATTCCCCCCTTTTTTCCCCACCTGTTTTCAGGGCAGCCTCAGGCCTCCTCCTTTTCCTCCCATCCTGGATTTTTTCCCAGCCTGGCTCCGTCTCCCTGGCCCGCAGCCAAGGGGGAGCTCCCATGGGATTCTCCTCGGTGTCACCGACGCGATTTGGGGCCCGAGTTCTGCCGCGAGAAAGCAGCACCTGGAATATTCCAGAACCTCTTTTTATTATTATTATTATTATTATTATTATTATTATTATTATTATTATTATTATTATTCCTGCTCTGCTCCTGGGTGGATTTAACTCCACATTTCACGGAGCACCGAGTCCGGAGCAGCTTCTGAAGCACTGCCCGGGGTTGTAGCTTCATACATCTTTCAGCAGCTGCTGAAAATACCGGTTCTACCCCCAAAAAAATTGTAATTAAAAGCCTTTTTTTTTGACTTGGAAAGCACTCCCGAGCTCCCTGGGCTCCTGGAGGGATTTCCTGGATGTTTCACTGCAGGGGATTCTCCTGGTGGGGATGTGGCACTGCCTGTCCCCAGCTCCAGGGTGGCTTTTCCCATCTCCTCTGCTCCCATCCCTCTTGGGTAGGGAAAGTTCGGGCACAAAGCTCCTCTTGGCACCCCTGGATGGCTCCACCTGCCTGGAGGTCACTAATTTTGGGATCACCGTGAGGATCCAGCGCTGCTGGATACAACCAGGGGCATCTCCTGGAGCTGCCTCGTCTTTTTATGGTTGTGGCTCACAATTTTGGGGGTGTGAACCTCGGGGGAAGCACAAAAAAGCTCAAAAACGCTCCGAATTTTTGGCCCCAAAATGCTGAGGCTTTGCAGGGGGCAGGGATGGAGGGAAGGCAGCAGGAATTTGGGAGGCTGGCTTGGCTGCAGGAGGCTCAGGTAACCGTGGCAGCAGCAAAAAGAAATCGTTTAAAATTTAACCTGTTAAACAAAGGTCAGGAGAAAGAAAAGCTGGCTGGGTTTCCCAGAAGTGTGAAACACTTTCAGTATTGCTTTCTCCAGAAACTTGGGTTATTGAACGTCCCCTGGCCAGAGTCCGTTCGCTCCCACAGCTGCTGGATCCTCCAGGAGCAATTCCCACCCTGGCTGGTGCTGCCTGAGGTGGTTCTGTGCCATGAGAAATGGGGTTTGGGGCCAGAAAAATGGGGTTTGGGGCCAGAAAAATGGGGTTTGGGGCAAGAAAAATGGGGTTTGGGGCAAGAAAAATGGGATTTGGGGCCAGAAAAATGGGGTTTGGGGCCATAAAGATGGGGTTGAGGGCCATAAAGATGGGGTTTGGGGCCGCAGAAATGGCATTTGGAGCCACAAAAGATGGGGTTTGGGGCCACAAGGATGGGGTTTGGGGCCACAAGGATGGGGTTTGGGGCCACAAAAGATGGGGTTTGGGGCCACAAGGATGGGATTTGGAGCTACAAAAATTGAGTTTGGGGCCAGAAGAGTGGGGTTTGGGGCTACAAAAATTGAGTTTGGGGCTACAAAAATGGGGTTTGGAGCTACAAAATTGGGTTTGGGGCCACAAAGATGCGGTTTGAGGCCACAAAGGGACTTCAGGTGCCCACCTGAGCCCCTTTGCAGAGGCTGAGTTCTCGCCGTTTCGGCTGCCTCAGACCTGGCTTGGCAAAACTTTGCTGCCTGTTGGGCTGGGCTTTGTTGAGCGAGGCTTTGGGAAATTCCGAGGCCACGGGGCCCGGCATCCCTCGCAGCCCTCGGCAGCTCCGCCGGGGGTCCCTGGCCCCTCTCCCTCTCCCCCCGTTGCTGGGAGACTCCTGCGAGGGTCCCTTGAGGGGATTAAAACTGTTCCGCATTCTTGTCTGGGAGGGGAAAAGGAGGAGAAAAAAAAAAATAAATAATAAAAATAAAAGATTCTGCTGGATTCAGTTGTAAATTCAGCCCTGGGAGCGCATTGTGTGCCCGCAGCCCCTTTGAAAGGGGATTAGAAGGAGTCTATTCTTACTCCTCTTTCTCCTCCCTTTTCAGTCTCCTTGTAGAGGAAAACTTGAAATTCCCAAAAGGAAAGCCTGGAAAACTCCGGGTGTCTCACTCAGGGATCTGCTTTTCCATCCAAACTTTCTCTTGCTCCTAGTTATTTCTTTCTCTTGCTCTTTATTTAGAAATAAAGTGTTTTAGAGGCAATCAGCCCCCGAGATTTGGGGTTTTATTTCCCTTTTCCTGACCCCAGGATGCTGCTGTTGTTGTTGTGTGGCATTCCTGTGGCTGGACACGATCCCTGCAGAGCCCAAAAATCGGGAGCAGGGCTGTGCCACCTGGGGGGAGCCTCGGGGACCCCAAAAACGAGGGGATGTCACAGGTTTCCCTCGGGGGGAGCGTCTCCCTCGCGTGCAGCAGCAGCACTTGGGGAGGAATAAACCCCAAATCGATCAAATCCGCTTTTCTGGGAGCTGTTTCCATGGAGCTGCTCGGCTCGCGGGGGTCACCTTTGTGAATCCCTTCCCGAAAGAGGGGAGGAGGGAGGAATTTCTTCCTTTGGGAATTCACGGTCCCCTCTGTGCTCACCCACAGGTGGCCATCAAATCCATCCGCAAGGACAAAATCAAGGATGAGCAGGACCTTGTCCACATCCGGAGGGAGATTGAGATCATGTCCTCCCTCAACCACCCGCACATCATCGCTGTGCACGAAGGTGAGGCCTCCTTTCCCTTCCCTTTTCCAGCTGCATCCACCATGGGAGCCTTTGGAATGGGCTTTGGGGGGCTCTTGGGGTGGGTTTGACCCGGTCCTCTCCTCCCTTCCAGGACCTGGCTCCGGGTCCTGGTCACTCACAGGGAATGCAGATCCTGGGCTGTGTTTTCCCTGCCTTTCCTGTCCCTTCCCTTTCCTCCCAGACGGGAATCCAGCTCCAAACGGGGATTTTGTGGAAGCCTCGGCGGGGCTGTGGAGGGAGGCTGAGCTGTGCCGGGGAGCAGGGGCTGAGTGTGACGCTCAGCCCAGGGAATTTGGGATCTCTGTGGATCCGCTCTGAGCCCGAGGCGGGATTTAATCTCAGTCCTGGAGTCCTCCTCATTCCCTCCCCCGGGGCACTGGAAAACCACTTTGGAAAAGCAAACCACAGCGCGCTGGGAGAGTTCCTGGTGCTGCCGGGCTTGGTTTTATGGCCAGGGCTGGGCTTCGCTGCCGGGGGGTTGGGATAACCCAGGAGAAATTTCTCCAGCTCCAAGCAGAACCAGACTGAGCCCAAATCCGCAGGCGGCTCAGGCTCAGCGGCCACCGGGTCCTGGAGGCTGCCGTGCCCCTCCTCGGGCTGGCTCTGCCGCTGCTCCCGGCGCTTGGGAGGGATCCGGAGCGCTTTTGTGCTCCAAACAAAGGCGAGCGGGCTGGCAGCTCCTCCGCGCTGTTTGCGAGGGCTGACTCACAGCGGCCGCTGGAATTCACAAATACCGAGTGCAAACAGGAAGAAAACGCTCCGGCTCTTGGCTCCAGCCAGGGACTTTTTTGGGAGCAATGGGGACAGGCAGGAAGGTCCCCAGCGCTGTCACCTTCCCCTTGGCGGGGGTTCCAGCAAGGAGCCGCGTGCCTGGGTCACCTCGGTGGTGGCAGAGCCGGTGGTGGCAGAGCCCCGGTGGTGGCAGAGCCCCGGTGGTGGCAGAGCCCCGGTGGTGGCAGAGCTGGTGGTGGCACAGCCTCAATGGTGGCACAGCCCTGGTGGTGGCACAGCCTCAGTGGTGGCACAGCCAGTTGTGACACAACCCCGGTGGTGTCATAGCCCTCGATGGTGGCAGAGCCCTGGTGGTGGCACAGCCCCGGTGGTGGCATAGCCCTCGATGGTGGCAGAGCCCCGGTGGTGGCACAGCCCCGGTGG